AAAGAATAAGAATAAAAATAAGAAAAAAAAACAAAAAACAAACAATTTTTAAAAATATGAATAACCTTTAAAAAGTACCAAGGCAATTGTGATAAGACCCTGGTGACCTCCGATATTTCAAAAAAATCACAAGACAGGCAGATGGAGTTTTCTTTTCGCCTAAAACTAAATCATAATGAAACAATCAGACAGAAGATTAATTTATTCATTCAATCTTCGCCTTTAGATCTAACTAAAATTTTTAAAAACCCAGAAATCTAAGCACTACAAAATTCAAAACTAGATAATCAAAAGCAAATATTTCGAAAGTTGAAATTAAAAAATATTTCTAAAACAGAAAATTCAAAACAAAAATTCAGAAGTGGAAAATTCAAAATGAGTAAATCTAAAAGCAGAGGGGAAATAGGCGCTCGTCAAAAGAATAAAATCAAAGAAACTCATTTTTGTGTCCCTTTGGCAATTTTTCGCGAATTTTTATTTTTGGACTCAACACATTTAAGGTCCTTTTAAAAACACATTTCTGTGGGAATTTATTGCACAAAAGAATAAAAATTTTAAGTTTCCCAGGACCCTCAGGCTATGGAGGTTACTAACTTTGGCGACCATTTTCGCGCTAATTTTACCCCTGAAACTAGGTGACCCCCACCCCCTTCATTTTGCAAATATCTCCACTAGCATTCTAGATAAATTCTGAAAGGATATTTTTTTCATCCAAAGCGAGACAAATGAACAGGCATTAAGATGATATCAATAATTCTGCCTGCCCAAAAATTGACGAGAGCCTGATTCCACCACGTTGTGACACACTCTAAAAGCAGAGAAGGCAAAGTGGAAGTTTAAAAACCAACATAGAACAAGAAAATTCAAAATCATTAAAAACTGAAATTTCGAAAGTAGAAAATTCAAAGCTAGAAAGTTTTTAAAAAGTGATCCTAAAAAAGAATGCAAAACAAGAATTCAAAAGTAGAAAATTGAGGAGTACATTATCTAAAAGCAGAGAATGAAAAGTAGAGAGGTTAACACAAAACAATTGCTCACCTTCTGCGAGGACGACTGCCGCCATGATAGCCAGGCACAGGGTCTGCAGCAGACGACTCGTCATGGTGAGTGACAGAACGTGATGGCGGAGGTATACAGGGGAGGTATAAAGGGGAGATATATGGGGGAGGGGAAGGGGAGGTATACTGGTGGATGTATACTGGTGGAGGGGAAGGGAGGGAGGGGGGATTTCAGATGGCAGGCTGAACGATCTGTGGGCGGTTGGAGGGTGCTGTTGTCAGTTGCTGCTTCTTTTCTTTTCCCTCTGTCTTTTCTGTCTGTGCGGGCGATTGGAGGGCGCTGCTGACAAACGCTGCTCCTTTTCTTTCCCTCTGTCGTTCCTGCTTCTCTGTCTGTCCGTCTGTCCTTCTCTCTCGATGTACCACTGGACTGTTGTCGTAAGAAAAACGTTTCGAAACAAAAAAACTTTTAAAAGAGCAAGTCTGCGTTACGTCTCTCTGCGAATTGCTAGAACCACCACCAGACCTTGGTGAGTGTGTAACGGCGTGACTGAAGCGGCAGTCAGAAAGATGCGGACGTTACTCCTCGATACGACCGTCACAACGCCAACTTAAGACTAAGACTCAGCCTTACGTCCCCGCGCAGAGTGTAAGAGACGCAGACACGTAGGTCTCAATGCTGCACTCCCTCAGAGCCTCATATATATAGAGGTGTAGTTATAGACAGCTATTTATACCTCTCCACACGCACTCTTTATACGTCCCCACATGCACTCTGTCACTTCTGCATTTGGTTCCGGGAGGGTTTTTCGTTATAATCTTTG